ACAGTCCAGCTGATAACGGCAAGCCGAGAGGAAAGAACAGAAATATACTTTTTTAATGTCATCTGTTTGAAAAAAAAACTCAAAGGCCTCGGCAGGTTAGACAGATTCCCAAATCGAAAACATGTGTTTTCGAATTTTTCAAAGGGGTTTATTATTTTTTTTTCAAAGTCTTGATATTTCCTTATCGGTCGTCACAAAAAGCAGAAAGATAAATTAAAATAGTAGTCACATAATAACAATCACGGTTTATTTGATGTTTTATTGTAAAAAAAAATCCTTCTTTTTATCGACACCACTGATGTCATGTTTTTTTTTTTTAAATCGCTATCACACCACGCAAGGCATTAAAGCTACTGAGACACCAAGGGTCAGAGGTTGTGTCAGGATCAGAAACAGATACATTAATAATGAGCGGGAAGAGGAAAGAGTAATCAGGAGGAGAGAAAATAGCGATTGACATTGTATTTAAAACTTCGCATATTAAGCTTGGATGAAAAGTATGGAGGTGGAAGTGAGTTCCACAAGCAAGTAGTGCGAGAAAAGAAACTGTTAACATAAAACTTAAGGTAACATATAAACTTTTCAACTGTAAATTGATGAGATATCGTCGCCAGTCTGGTACTGTGCATAAATTCAAAAAGTCTAGGTACCAACAGCGAAGAGAACAATTACCATGAATGGATTTATTTTTTTAAAAAAAAGGGGGTGGCACAGAGGGAAAACCTGACGGCAGGAGGAGGAAAGTGATTGAAGCCGATCCGCCAGATCAGGACCAATGATATCGCTGATTCTTCTTTGGGTTTTATCATGGTCAAGGTAAACAGAAGAGGTGTCGGACCATATGTGGCAGCAATATTCTAAGCATAGATTTCTTTTAATAAAGGTATGAAATTTGAAATTCTTAGACAATTCCACAGAGGAAAATTCAAAATACTGTTGCCTAAGCTTGATGAAAAGAAGACATCAGATAGGCAAACATGTATTGCATTTCTTGGAGAAAAGTGAGGTTAGCGGTTGCCCTCGATAAAAATAATGAATGAACAACTTTATGCATGGTTACAATAGGTGTCGAAAAAGAAGTGAATAAATTTAGTCAATGATATAATCCGAAAACAAAAAGAGATAGTGTTACTTCTATTGCATGTTAACAGAAATGTGATATTTTCTATATAAAAAGCACTATAAAAGAATCTTGTTGGGGATCGTCTGTCAAATGCCGTTCGGCTCAGTGGTTGATATCACGTTTAACGATTTTCTTTTACATTCATCTTGTCGCCATTATTATTTCATTTTTTGATATTTTTATTTACTTAGATTTATTCCCCTGTCGGCCGGTTTCTTACCGAAAGATTGAGCATTTCAAAATTATTAATCACACAAACGCGAGTTACATTCGTTCACTGTGTGCGCATACGCGTCTTTCTATGGATCTCCGTCTCCATAGCGACATTTCCCTCAAGAACGTCTTATCATTATATATATATATATATAAGGGTAAAACTGGCCAGTTTTACCCTGACGATCCATTTAGGTGAAACCTAGGTAGATTAACCTTTTTAGGTTTATATTAGGTTTGCTCAAATTCGTGTATTGAGCACTTTACGTTGTTACTTTTACTCGTTTTGGAGTTTCTTTTTTTTTTCTTTGAACTCTGACCTTGAATTCTGGACGATTGTTTTAGCCTCAATTTCATCTTCTTAGTTCTTTCTTTTTTATTCCTCATTTTTTCTTGTGTATTGGTTTGTTCAACTACAAGCCGAAATACCTAAGGTTTTTCCAAGGAGGGTTTAAGAAAATTAAGTAATTCATCGAGTCTAGAAGAAACTTCAACAGAATGCAGAAAGCAGTGGACGGCCGTTTTGTCCTATATTTGGGACTCATCAGCAGTGCGCATCCAGTACCCAGAATTGAAACCTGGACAGTTACACTGACGGGTTCCAATACTCGGTATTGGATGCGCACTGATGATGAGTCCCAAATATAGCACTAAACGGCCGTTCTCTTGCGGTTTCTTCTAGACTCGATGAATTACTTAATATATATATATCTATATATATATATATATATATATATATATATATATATATATATATATATATATATATATATATAATTATGTTGTGAAGAACTTGGTAATTCGTATGGGTAATCCCAAGGAGGATGAAATCCTGAGAGCTCAATGTAAATACAGAGCTAATATTAAAGATTTTGCTTTCTTCTTATATATATCACATACATATTCATGCAAATGCCATATATACATACGTTTATTTACATGCGCAAGTACACACATAGACACACATGTAGCGATATACACAGGTACATATACATATTCATACATAAATTACATACACATACATTTACAAATAATTACATATATTTTTATATTTGAATTTATTTAGATTTTTGTTTAATCTCATAGTTAATGTTTAACGTTAGGTGATATCTGATATATATATATATATATATATATATATATATATATATATGTGTGTGTGTGTGTGTGTGTGTGTGTGTGTGTGTGTGTATGTATATATATTTGAATCAGAAACGAAATTGAAGAATTAGAGAATATCTAGAGATGCCAGAGAAATACAACAGGATATATCTATATTTCTGAGATGAGGTATTATGTATATTATTTACATTATTCAAACTATTGTCTTCATCTCCGTCGCCATATTTATTACAACTTTTCGGCCGTCGTACGCTCCGGCCTTCTTCAGATGGTTTGGAATGTTGAACTGAAACATGGCACGTGGAAGTAGAACAGTTTATCCCAGTGACCGAAATGTAGGGTTAAATTGCAACATTCCAACCACTGGAAGAAGGTCGGAGCGTACAACGGCCGAAACGTTGTAATAAATATGGCGACGAAGATCTGGGTAGAGACGTAATAATGGAAACACATATTGAACTCTCATCCGTTATAAACAACTGTGTATCGACATTTTATTCTTAGGAAAAATGCGCACATAATGTCCAAATCTTTTCAATATATCTTTCAATCTTTTCGCATATATAGAACTGGAAAGCAAATAAGATCCGGGAATGCACACATCCTTACTGACGTGTAAAAAGCGTTAATATTTACTTGAACTATACTAGTATTCTTAATTTAGAAAAGACTTTGTTTTTCGCTTTCTCTCATGCATCTATGGCAAAATGTACACCTGTATATTGTCAGGTTCGTATGCAGATATTATTGGACCAATTTTCTTATTAATCTAACCTTCAGATGTCTGATTCTCAAAGTAATGACATTCTGGTTATTCCACGTGTAATTATAACTGGTAATTAATTCTTCTGCACTGGAAAGCAAACTTAGCGAAAATGGTATTTCTGGATCGTTTCCAACTCCTCCGTCTCCAACAAACGCTGCCACATCAATACGCAAAGTCGGAAGCAGCTGGAACCACACAACAGGGACGAAATTGTAATATACGGGTAATATTTGATGGCAAAGAGTGCGTATCTTCAAAAGACACGCAATCGATTTGCGATGATGGAAGCAAGGAATATATTGAAGATGTTTCACCAATTATTTTGTTCTTAAAAAAAATGAACGAGATAAGCTTATTTAATTATCTGTACTTGGGAGATTATATGTACTTCGTGTGCATAGGTTGTTACTGTAACGAATACATCGGTTTAGTACGACGAATGCCTAAAGGAGAAAACGCGGCATAGAAACTTTCTTCCTCCACTTTTTCCCTATCTGTACTTATAAAAAAGAACCGGAGAAGCTTATTTATATAATGGCCGGGAACACGGTAAACATGGTATCGTTTCTGTTCGGGTCTTAACCATTTGGATACTGCACTTGGAAAGTTGTAAAATTAAATTCTGTATTAGGTGTGTGTGGACTTACGGTTATCAGAATTGTCAATGAAATTAGCGAATCAAGTTCGAGTTCCGGTTGTGACATTTTTTTTCCTTCCAACTTAACCTATTTGGAAAGGCAGAGAGTTGCATTTCTACTGCAAGCTACGATTTGAATAGATTGAAAAACTCAAATTTCAAATGTGCGGAAAAAGCATTAGAAAATTATTTTACTGCCCATTTAAAGAATAACAATTAAAGATAGGAAGCTGTGGAGTAACATTATTATCCATGTTCTTGCCATACACCATGTCAAAATCATTTGATAATGTGTATTTTGGCCTCCATATTTTCTCCTGCTATGCACTAACAACGTACTAGATGTGATCTGTTCATGTAGTCTTAACAGCTCTCACTTTCATATGTACCCTGCCATTTCAAAATAGTGAGCGATTATTTTCTCCACAGATCCCCTTCTTCTTTTCGTTCAACACTATATATACTTCTCTATTATAACAAATTTAAATTGCTGTTCATGGTGTTTTGTTCATTAATTTAAAGTGTCAAGACGGTTACTCGCTCATGTCATGTCTCTTTCGTATTTTCGGTGTTTTGTGATAAACTTTCTATGCTTTCTTTTTAAATTTGGTAAGAAAAATAACCCTGTTCTTTTCTGATAATGAACATTTGTTTCTTTATAATTCCGATTCAGCCTAAGAATTGCTCACTTTCTGTGTCTATTCAGTTTCCGCCACATTTTAACATACATACCAGCAAAAAAACAGTGTGTGAAAAGAACAGGGCCTTCTCTTGACATCAATATTAATGTCTCTTTTGGCAATTTTCATTCCTTGGAAAATTTTATTTTCAGAATTTTAAAATCCTAACATGAAACTGGTTTTATCCATTTTCTCGTGAGTGCTGTCAGCGAATGTAATAGCCTAAATGTTAGGTACGCTTCACTAAAACAGTTAAATTCGAATTTTTACTTCGTCAAATGGGACGTTTTGAGGGGGAAAAAATAAATTTAGAAAATTAAAGGGAGATAACCTTAATATCGGAATAGGGCCTTTCTAAAGTGCGTATCATTTAAAACTCTTATTGTCAAATTATGAATATCTTTTTTATGCATAAGTCTTCACACACGTAATAATGTTGCTTAATATTATGCTTTTATTTTAGGAATACTGATAGATAGATAGATAGATAGATAGATAGATAGATAGATAGATAGATAGATAGATAGATAGATATATAGAGTCCTGACCACTAAAAGAACGGGTTCTAAAATCTATTATATCAGACGTGTTTAGACTGATAAACTTTCAGCATCAGTTCGTGTATATATATATATATATATATATATATATATATATAGATATAGAGATATATAGAGAGAGAGAGAGAGAGAGATACATAGATAGATACATACATACATATATATATACATATAGATATGTGCATACCGAGATAGATAGATAGATAGATAGATAGATAGATAGATAGATATTAACAAACTGACACAGGAATATATTAACAAACTCACATAGATAGATAGATAGACAGAAGGATTCCTTACCGCAAAAGAACGGTTTCTAAAATCTATTATGTCAACGTGTTTAGGCGGTTTCTAAAAATATATTATATCATATATATTTATATATATATAAATATATATATATATATATATATATATATATATATATATATATATATATATATATAGATAGATAGATAGATAGATAGATAGATAACGCTATTTGTATAAAACGAAAATAACAGACAAATATAGCGAAGCATCTATCAGAAATAGATATATAGGTGAGTTTTTGAATAACAAAACCTTGCTTTTATTGTGACGTCCTTTGAACTTCGAGTCGAATAATTCAGTTGGGTTGATATTTAGAAGATATTTTTACTCAGGCTATGAAAGCAAATAAATAAAAAGGATCTAGCAAGGCACATACACTCACAGTCACACATATACATTCACGCGGTGCACACACACACACATATATATATATATATATATATATATATATATATATATGTGTGTGTGTGTGTGTGTATATATATATATATATATATATATATATATATATATATATATATATATATATATATATATAATGATTATTCACTTGATATATTCACCCCGAGAACTCTTTTCTCTACAATGCAATATTCATCTTCTTTGACACCAGCAATTCACAACGGGATTCTTTTCTCAAGTCCACCATTCTTCAACTTCCTCGGTTTCATCTTCCCTGAGCAACCAATTAGTTGAAAAGTCAGCAGGCAGGGATTCTGGCGAGATTTCCTCGCAAGAATAAAGAGCCACCGGTCATTGATACAAATAATAATTCATGCGTCGAGGCTCTAGTCCTTACAGCCCAATTACTAGCACACGAATAACGACTAAAGAGTATGGAGGGTGTAATGGCAAAAGCGGAAACGAAATCTCTTGTCTACCAAAGAGGAAGATGTCGCCAATGACGGTACGATGTTATGCAGCGTCGAAAGGTTAGCGTTGATGTCATAGCCAGCGACCCAAACCTTTTCAATTGCTCTGCTTGTCGCTTGTCTGATTTATAAAGATGATGACCCGTGGGATTAGTTCAACTGATTCTTTCGCTAAGTGCATTGACAATTGATAGCTTTCTTTGGCTAATTTCAATTTAATATCTTATATCTATCACTCTATCCCTCTGACTGTCTGTTGATATATTTCTGAACAGATTCTGTCTATATTTCTGAGATGAGGTATTATGTACATTATTTACATTATTCGGACTATTGTCCTCTTCTTTGTCGCCATATTTATTACGTTTGGGCTGTTGTACGCTCCGGCCTTCTTCAGATGGTTGGGAATTTCGAACTGAACCCTTTATTTCGCTCACTGGGGTAGACTGTTCTAGTTCCACGTGGCATATTTGATGGATGTCAGTTATCAGTTATCTCCTGCTAATTTCCCTCTGAAAGTTCTCCACTGCCTTAATCGGGTATTGTGAGCGAAATAAAGGGTTCAGCTCGAAATTCCAACCACCTGAAGAAGGCCGAAGCGTACAACGGTCGAAACGTTGTGATAAATATGGCGACAAAGATGAGGACAATAGTCCGAATAATGTAAATAATGTTCTGAACAGATGTATAGCAGAATCCAACGTTGCTCTTTAAAGACAAAAAGATAAAATAACATTGTTTTGAGCTTAATAAACTTTTAGAAAACAAAAAAAAACATATAAAGTTGTTTTTATTTTAGCTTTTACAAATTCGAAATAATGACAAAGAAGTTCACTGATATAATTAAAATTATTGTCTACTCGGATTCCATTTTGTTCGTATTTTATTTTAATTATAAGGAACGCTTATTAAAGCTAAACTTTATCTGTCCTAACGACTTTTTCATGTTATCATCAAATCAGAAAGAAATCTTTTAAAATCCTGAGAGGTTCGTTAATCCTTCCTATTTTACGATAAGCAAAACCTAAAATATTTAAAACTGTGATTTCACTCTATATAAACTTGTTTTATCATAGAATATCTTCAATTAACGTATAGAAAAAAGCTCCGTTTGAAATAATATATATTTGAAATCCTATGTCAAATTATTTGTTACAATCTGAAGAAAATGGACGTGGAAATTAATAACCAAACAGTATTAAATGTAAGGCTGATTTTATTTTATATACCGAAAAATCTTGAAATGTGACGCTTTTTAGTCACTTCACCCTAAGCGAGGCGATGAAGCCACTAAGACGTAAGCAGTTACTGAGAGTGAAAGAAATGAAACAAATAGGATATTAAAACGTCAGGATAAAAAGAGACAGAAGATGACGATTGACGTTATATTTAACATTTCGAAAGTCTTAGTTGACAGAAAAGGAGGTTTGGATTTAGGTTTATTTTATTTTACGGCATTTTATGGTTCATTTAATTCCGAAACTTTAATTTCTTGAGAGCATTAGTAATTTCTTTAAAAAAAATGTATTGCTGGTAATATATTTTTTCAAAAATGTATTGCTGATAATATGTATTTTTTAAATGTATTACATGTAATTTTTTTTTCAAAAATGTATTGCTGGTAATTATTTTTTTTTTTCAAAAATGTATTGCTGGTAATATTTTTTTTTAAATCTTTAGCTGGTAATTTTTTTTTCTTTTACTTCAAAAATGTACAAATGGTAATATTCCTTTTTCAAAAATGTACAGCTGATTTTTTTTTTTTTCAAAAAATATATACTGGTATTTTTACTATAAACATCTATTCCTATACTTTCATAGTTTTTTGGGGTTTTTTTAACCCAGTTTGGGAGTAAACTATTTGCCCATAACTGGGACCCTAACAACCCCTACCACATCGGATTAGGGTAAAGCTGAGAAAAACAGCAATTAGGCTCTTTAAAACCTCCCGATAAGAGCCTTTGCTGCTGGATGTATTTTATCGTCGTACCCAGGCTGCCTCATTTGGGTTTGTCTTACCCCACTGCAGAGGTGTTGTCCTCGTATTTTGAAGCCACAGGCAAAAGGACGAGAGAAAAGCAGGAAGCATGAAGATATTTCTACAAACGATAAGTGTAAGAGAAGAAATCATTAGCATAGAACTTACAATTACACTGAGCTATTTCAACTATAAACCAAACTGTTAATTCATGAGGTCCAGGTACTAAAGAGAAACGGTTGTCAGAAAAATTACCTCGAAAAGTATTTAGAGAAGTGACACTTAGATGTTATATTAAAGCGTTGGAAATCGACGGAAGCCAAGAAGCTTGGTTAGAATCGATTATATTGCACTTTCTTATTTGGATGTTGTCAAAAATCTCTAGATACTTAACAGAATTACCAGACTAATGATGACAGTATTCTTCCATACTCGGACCAAATGCAAACGTATAAATACTTCACAAAATTAATGGTTCCAGGTACTGAATTAATAAAACATTTCATTTTTATTGGGACTTACTTTCTTTAACATATGGGTGTTCATTGCTCTCCACAAAATTCTATTTCGTTTCTCTAATTTTAACATTTTTTTTATCTCTCTTTCTTCTTATTCAGTTTTCTATTAACAGAGAATCCGCAATAACTGACTTCCCTATTCTGATGTTATATATCCTGTGAGTGTTAAATTCTCTAGGTCTTATTTCTTCATTATGCATCCAACAATCTCCCTGATCGTAAGTCTATTTTCTTTAAGTCTTTCTCGTTGATCACATGTTCCCTCTATGTTATTCTTAGCACCCGTCTCTATCATTTCAAGTGCTTTATCATCAGGGAAGAGTTTTCCAGGATTCGCTTCCATGTAGGTGATTAGATATTACATAGCAGTATTTTCCTTTCTATATTTCTTATTTCTTAATACTTTGCTTAATTTCTTATGATCTGCTTTTTTTATATTCTCCTGGGTCTATTTCTGTTTAATATTGCCCACCTGTTGTTAGTAGCCAGATTTTTTAAATGCCTGAACGTCATTCGTTTTAGATTTCCCTATATGAAGCTCCATCCTTCTTCTACCTTTTTTGCTGACTCCTCGAGTAAGTTGTAATTTAGTCCTGTCTTCTCGCCTTCCGCTATTATCTTGTCTAAGAATTGTTTCATTTTTACTTTGGAATTTCTTAACAAAAAGGGATATATGAGTAATTGATTCTATTACGTTAGATTTTTGAATTCATCTGTGATTTTGTTTTTCATTTACAAATATTTTCTGGCAATCGTAAAACAGTTATGAAAAAGTGTTAATAGACTTTACATTATTTACATTTTAACAACATTTAATCCGCTGTACCCTCCCACCGGCCCCACCGGGATTCTTCAGGTGTACATTGATCTGGGTAACCTACAGCAAAACTGGTTAAAGAGGAACAGGGAAGTTAGACGTCTGCAATAAAGAGCGCTTATGTTAGGCTATGAGGATCTGGTTAGTAGGCCTAGCATAGGAATACATACAATATGGGAGTTATGAAATGGACAAAGTCCGACAATTTTTTAAAGAATTTTTTATGTTATACATTCTTTTTTATAGATACAAATATGTTTAAGTAAATGCTCTCTTTATACTAAAGAGTATTAACAACATTTACCGGCCTGAATGTCCGAGAAATTGTCAGAGAAAATAAAAACAGTAAAATCGACCTTGCTAACCGAAACTCTCCTCTGTAGCTCAATCGGTAAAAGCACGTCTGGCTATATGGCGGTTCCGTATAGGTTACAGGCTCGATTCCTGTCGGAGGACGCATATTTTCTATGACAATTTCTCGGACATTCAGGCCGGTAAATGTTGTTAATACTGTTTATTATAAACAGAGCATTTACTTAAAAATATTTGTATCTATAAAAAAAAAGAATGTATAAACATAAAAATGTCTTAAAAGTATGGGAGTTGTTAATAAAGAAAGAAAAACAAATGACAGCAAATCTTCAAACGCACCATCAATCAAAACATGGGCAGCAGCAGCAGCAGTCAAAATATAACAACCAGTAGCTGCAGCCTAATCAGCAGTTAAGGTTAGGTTTGAATGTCTAAGTTTACTTCAGTTTTGTCCTACGAGATTAAAAACATTGGTTTGTGAATTTGGTGATATGGTGTTTAAGAGTTCAAACGCTAGGCCGCCAGTGTTTACTAGCACTCAGTGGAAACGGATGAGCAATAAATGAATAGTACTGAATAATACTGAAAAATAAGAACTGAACATGAGTAGTGGAAAGAGAACGGTCTATACCCGTAGATTAAATAATGTGTTCAGTTCGGAATTGCTTTTCGATTATCCAGATCGATATACACCCGAGGAAAGCCAAACGTCACCACGGCTGAAACGTTGTGATAATAACAACAAAGATGTGGACAATAGTCGCGATATAAATAGCGTAAACATGATAATTGCCCATCCAAGAAATTAATACAAAAAAGTCTTTCCATTATCCTATATAAAAAAAAATCACGTTTCATTGTGATAACTACTTTGTAGTAATATTTCACTTGTTAGTCTTTGAGTGACTTTTCTTTCATCATATTTTTGTTGTCCATCTATCATAGCGAATAAGCCCTTTTAACCTTTAATAACATCTAAATAAGAAGAGATGTGTAGAAAAAAAACGGAATCAAATTCTATGTTTTGAAATTGAATCTTGTATCTTTTGGAATCAGCAATTTACCGATTACGCCACCAAAATTTAAATGATGAATCGCTATTCCAATTTCATCTCATGACGACGTTCTGTATTTTTTTCTGTTTTCACAACCTATTACTGGTTCACACCTCGTAAAAGGAGCCATACATGTCTTCAGATGTCTAAATTTTATTAATGAAGCATTAATTAATAAAATTTTATGAATGAAGCTTTAATTAATAAATTTTATTAATGAAGAAATTGTTAAATGTTTATTAGTTCTTTCATTTTTATTTTGACAGTTTTTCAAATTTTGTTTGTATTTTAAATTATGAGGGAATTATTTAATAAGTTCCTTCATTTTGAAATTGTAGATACCCCCCACGCCCAAAGTGTGTTGTTGTATAATTTGTCAGAAAAATATTTCGAAATGTAAATACAATGAAATATGATTGTGTTGAGTATAAACATTTAGTCTAAACTGGATTTTTGTTTAGTTTGTTTTGTGTTACGACATATCGACCTCAATGGGTTATTGAATGCCGACAAGATTTTTATTGCTGGTAATATTTTTTTTTTCAAAAAATGCACTGTTCGTAATACCCGTTTCCTCAAAAATGTATTGCTGGTATTTTTCCTTCAAAAATGTATTGCTGGTAATATTTTTTTTCCTCAAAAATATATTTCTGGTAATGTTTTTCCGTCAAAAATGTATTGCTGGTAATAATTCAGTCACTGGATGACTGTCGGGAAACAAGGAAAAAAGAGTTATGAAATGTTTAAAACATTAGGTTTATATAATAGAAAATATAAGGGAAAGATCTTACTCCAAATAAATGAAAAGAAAAATGAGAAGTTTCTAATGTCTGAGAGTAGCCCCGTTTGTCTGCCAAAGGACTTCGGCTAAATCGGGATAAACGAAAAAGACGCTCTTCCGATGCTCTTTTTAAACAGAGGCGGACTTAGAGATGAAATGCGTCTCGTATTTACCGAGGTTGATCTTTTGGTCACTGGCAAATCTCGAGTCGGAAAAGAACCAAAGTCAACACTTCAGGGTTTAACCGTTCTATAAATTGTACTTGCACCAGGAGACCCAGAACTGGTTACATTACTTACCTCTTAAAATATACCTGCACACGATTGGCATATTCTTTTTGAAATAATTCCCAGAACAAGCACGAACATTGTCAGCTTTCGTACAACTGAAAGTGATCTAGAAAGCCAAAAACATCTGTTGTGTGTGTCGGCTTTAATGGACTTTTTGTACGACTGCGAAGTGACGAATCGGTGCATTCAGCATTGATCAGGAAACCTGTGTTTTGGTCAAATGTCGCTTGAGTAGTGCCCAAAAGGGTTGATATTTGACAGTTTGATGAAGATTTTGGTTAAATGTCGCAACACCAAGATGGTGGTATTGGTGATTATTATTATTATTATTATTATCATCACCATCATCATCATCATCACCATCATCATCATCATTATTATTCAAATAAAATAACTGCTTAAGTAAAAAAACTAAGTAAATAAAATAAACAATTAAGAAAAGAATATGACAACAACAATAACAACATTTACTAACTTTCTATTCAGTAGGCATTAAATAACATAGCATCCTCCTTAATTTGCCCTCCTCGTTCCATCCCTCGTTGAAAATCGAACCGTGTGTGTGTGCGATCTTTGGCGACATCTTCCTACCTCAAGATGTCTATGTCCATTGACGTCATGTCCTTTTGCAGATGTCTTTAAAGTAAAAATGAAGTAACGCGTATGCCCTCTTGCAGGTAGCCATTTCCCCGTGTAGAATGACCTTCAGAATCTTCCCATGCGGCATACAGTGTACATCTTTTTATCCAAGTCCAAGCTAGAAATGAGATGCTACAGAACCACCCAATTATTTCCTTTGTAGGCCGCATCCCAAATGATAAAGTACGAGGCAATATCAGACAAGAAACACGTTCATCACTCATTACTTTCTCTGTTTCAGTCTCTTTTGAACTAATTACTGTTAATAGTAGACATTAATACGTGCTTTACTTCTTGCCTAGTCTCTCATCTGACTTTTTTTCTCGCACAGTTGCTAGGTCTGCTTCTAGGAAAGTTGATTTACTGTATCGGCTTCGACAATTTCTCTTGCCACAATCTACTGTATATATTTATAAGTCAACAATTAGTCCATGCATTGAATATAGCTATAACATTCGTCTGGTTCATCTGCTATGCACTTAGATATTCTTGATAAAATCCAAAGAAGAATCTGCGATGTAATCTGTACTAACATGGCATCTCGGCTTCAAGAACGTTCCCACTGCTGTAACTTTGATTCGCGATGTTTTTTCTATAAATATTTTTATGGTGATTGTACTGATGAACTTTCCTCTTGGTACCTAAACTTAAGCACTGCGTGGAGTAATGGATAGCGTCTTGGATTGAGGAGAGAGACGTGTTCGAAATCCATTCTAATCTATTACATTCACTTACATGCTAATACCATTGGGAAAGGTATGAATCCTCTTCTTCTCCCCCTAGCTATGGTTAAATAGCAGGACAGACCAGGTTCTATAGACTTGGATGGCAACTGCTTTACCCCAGAAAGAAATGTCAACCTACTGAGGGAAAAAATCTACCTAGTCAGTCATGTATCGAAAGATACATGATCACCTAAGCGTGTATCCCGCATGGTACATAACTGAATGACTGACTAGATAACAGGTAGGTCTCACCATTTTGAATTGGAAATCGCAACATGTAAATCCTATGCTAAAAGTTTCCTCTGTGGAATTCGTCTCCAGTCTCTTACTTTAACCACTAATTGGAGATCCTTTTTTAAGAACAGTTTACTTTATAAGATATGACGGATTTGCTACGAGACAGGAGTAAATGGTAGTGCTATCTGCATAAATATCTAGTAACACCAGGGAGGTCATTGATGAATATCAGAAACAGCGTATGAACAATGATAGAGCCTTGGTTGACTCCTGCGTTCATATGAAATGATCGTAAAGCCATGCCGTTCAACACAACCTTCATTAAACAATTGATAAGAACGATTGTATTAAATGAAATATTCGTCCTGTGAAACTGTAGCCATGGAACCTGCGTAGAAGCCAGCTTGTCAAACGCTGTCGAATGCCTTAGATATATCTAGACTCACAGCTCGAGCTTCGCCGTTCTTATATAGAGTTTGATATATAAATTCAGTAAATGGCATTAACACATCGGTATTAGAATTATGTACATTTGCATAGCAACAGTTCTAGAAGGTCGACTTCGAATTTAAAATCTTCTTGGGCATGTGACGAGCAACTTTATTCTATATAAATATAGCTGTCATGAAAACCCCAGAGGCAGCAGGTAATATGACCAGTCCCTTAACCTTAAATATTCTAAACATCTACACGGAAAACATACATAAAATATTGTGGAAGGTAAGACGTATTAATTTCCTGGATTACTGATTAATTAAATTAATTCATATATACAACATTAATCTGAAGGTAATTTAACAATATTAAAATATTACGTGACATAGTCAAAAGTAATAACTAGTGCCATAGATTGTACCCGAGGAGTGTGCAGCCGGGTGGGGCTTTGTTTTCTGGTTACTGCACCAATTAGTTTTAATCTGGCCCTGAGTGTCAGGTTCAAGTTTAGGCTAGATCCAGCAAATTTATGCGGCCCTTCTGTTCAAACAAATGATTACATGTCATATTTAACATGGTAATTTTCCTGCAATGAGATATACACAAAAATGCTATATTTGGGTGTAATTAAACATTCACTTACTAAATTAAAATGCTAATATAACCAGATTAAAATCTGGAACCCATGCATAAAATTCGTCCCATGACCCTATGGCAGTAGATATAAATAAATATGAATCTACCCCACTGGGTACAACGAGAAGTATTTGCCTAAGAGATGGATCTCCAGGAGTTAGGTTTATACTTCACAATGTGATATTTAATCAATTTGTTTTATTAGAGTCTATGTCTGTAAAATATTTACTAATATTTACTTAATCTGACAAGGCTCTGACAAGCATGAAGTGTGTACTGAGTTCTGTGTACAGGTGTATTCGAAACAACAGCCATAATGATTGTCCGGCGTTACGTTGTTTCACTCTGCTTTTTCTACAAAGATTGTCAATGCAAAGGCTCTGACTAGCTACTTTCGCTGGTACTCCGAATATATGAATTTAAGCGTGCTACTAGATTGGCATGTACGTCCCACCACCTCTACTCCAACAGTTTCTTTTCTCGCACCTCCCCGCCTGTAGAACTCACTTCCGTTTACGTAATTCCCACAATTTTCATAAATTTAAATGCAGCGTCAATCGCCATATTCTATCTTCTTCAACCCTGTTAATTTTTACTCCTTACCTCAATCGTCACTATTCTATGTCTTCTCTTTTACTTTTATTCCATGTATCGCCCCCCTGCGTACTAGTGGCATTACCGCCTTCCTTAGGGTAAAATGATTTTTAAAAACTACATCTGTAAAACGTCTTTGCAATGCGTACTGTATAAGTGGCGGATATGTTTATAATGTCATAAATAGTAGTAAACATAATGAGGAAAAAAGGCTTGGAAATTAGATACTCACAGGAAGGAGGGACAGAGGAAAAAACGCGTAACCTTCCGAGCGAACCTGAATAAACGGATGCTAGAACAAGATTTAGGAGAGATAAGAAAAAGACAAAGGATATTAAGAGCTACAAAGGACAGGGAAGTTTGGAGACCCATGATCGCCAATGTTTTCAAAGAACACGTGACATAAATGAAACTGAAAAATATCTTCTACGTGATTAAACTCTGACATGCATCATAAATACTGCAATCTACGATAGAAAATATGATAAAATCATTTAAGACTCAGTTTCGAACAATTCAACTTCGGTTTGCCTTCATTGCTTGGTTCATAACACATATTGCTGAAATATGTAATTACTTTCCTAACGTTGCCAATTAAATTTTTCGCTTATATGCCACCGATGCTTATGCACGTGAGGATGATTACAAGTTCATAGCACCGACTAATTTACGAAATTCTATATTTTTCAGATATGGAAACGTTTACAGGGCACATAGCCTTTATGACGAAAGCAATGTGAGAATGTGAGAAAAATAGCATAATTTTTACTACATATTTATATTGGGTGGGGGATTTGATGAAATGTGTCTGTAAATAAGTTACTGTTATTCACTCCCATGATTTCTAGATTACTTATTGCATATTTTATTATTATTTTTATTTTCTTTGATTTCTGGCGTTTACACATTTCTTTCCGGGTCCCGCCCAAGGATCTAAGGTTAGAAATGGCGCCATGACACTTTCCACTGACAAAAAAAAAAAGAATTAAATTACATAGATAATGCCCTTCGTAAGGTGTGGGATGTACTTGTCAGAACAATTTTTTTATCTCCTTGAGGCATGGACTTCCAGGAATCCCTTCAATTAGTCTACTGCAATCTTTTCCAACCAGTCCTAGGGCTCCAACTACAACAGGGATTGTTGATGTTCCCATATGCCACATTTTCGAGATTTCTATTTCAAGGTCCTTGTACTTTGACAAATTTTTGAATATCTTTAAACATACATTGCAGTCAGCAGGGTCTGCCATATCAATAAGGAGGCACCTTTTTATTTTCAGTCTCTAATAACAATTAGATATGGAAATGTTAGACGGTTAGCTTTGATTGTTCTGTTCATATGTATTTTGTAGGTCCATAAAAATGTTACAGGTCTTATCTCCGTAACCGGGTCTGGGTGGTGGTCATACCAGTTTCTTTCAGTTTCCTTCCCGTAGAAGTTGCAGATTTTCCAGGGCAGATATTGACCCAATCTGTCATGGCGGGTTTTATACTCAGTGGATGCCAATACCATGCAACCTTACACAAAATGATCAATTGTTTCTGGATATTTATCACAGTATTTTGGGCTAACACAATATCTTAGTATGCGTGCTTGATCATTTCTAGTTAACAAGCATTAGTCCTGTACAGCAAGAATAATACTTTTGGTTTCAGGTTTTAGCCCTGCACTGCGTAGCAACTGTTGGGTACGTTTTTTTTTTTACATCAGCTAGTTTGGTACGGACAGAGTATTGACCATGAAGCAATTTATCTTGTCATTGTTTTTATATCAGGTCGATTGCATTTGCTTTTGCTTTCTTTTATATTTTGCAGCTTCACTCGGTATATTGCGCTTTTCTTATATTTCTTCTCCATTTTAAACTTTTTGGTTTCCTTTATTACAGAATAAATTCGCTGACTTCTTTCACCTGTCCTGGGTATGACAATAAACTACATCCGCGACCTGAGTAAAACGATAAACTGCGTCCAACAGCAAGACCTCTGATCAGGAGGTTTTGTTGAGCGTGGAATCACCTTTTAATTGCTGGTGTTCCCAGGTCCACCCTAACCCAGAGTAGTAGTACCTGTCAGGATGCTTGCTATGGGTTAATACTTAACCCCAAACTGGGGTCAAAACACTATGAAAGTGTAAAAATAGGTTTTAACCCTAGAAGACTAATCATAGGTTTATAGTACCTAGCGCAAATGTTCCTATTTTGAATTACAATTTTCAGTACCTGATTTTCTTACCTAAATAATGTTCTTCGGTTCCTATTTATGTTGACTCAAAGTACATAGTTTGAAGTACCTGCATGTAAAAGATTTCAAATGAAGATTTATATTTAATTTTTTTTTTATATTTTCAAAATTGGGTATGATATGCCCATGGTTAGTCGTCGTGTAACTTTAACTGATTATTAGTGTTATTGGGTTAATACCAGAAATACTTTGTAAAAAAATTATCACCAGAAATAAATTTTTGAAGGTTACATTTTTTTAAAAAAAGTTACCAGTGATACTTTTTTGAAAAAAAATATTTAAAAAAAGAAATTTTGACGGTATTCATTGAGGTTGAAATGCCGTAAAAGTAAACAAACCAAATCAAACAAACCAAATACTACTTTCATGTTCCTTGACGCATACTATCATCCAGTCTTCTGTCTGTAGTTTCCAAATATCTTTGGAGGCCAATTGTTGTAGTTTTGTAAGACAGTTCTAGTTGAACTAATCCTCTATCTCCTTCGGATCTGGGCACATGCAGACGACAACATCAGCTTTGGGATGATGCATGCAGTAGCAAGTGAGATTATTATCATTACTATTATTATTATTGTTGTTGTTGTTGTTATTAACGCAATAATTTAATTGAGATGACGAATAAGAGAATATATGTCAGAAGATATCATAAAGGATAATAGAGGCCGTTGAAAAAGCAGAAGGTTGTTTCGATAAAAATATAAGGGAGGAATGAATTAAGAAAATATTGCTGAGGCGGGTAACGGCTGTTTAAAAATGAAAGATTTAATGCTTGAAACATGGAAATACTGTCTTGAAGAGACGAGAAATGCATGGGAAGAAAGTAACGAAACGAAATTGATTCGATACAAAACAATGTGAAAATAAATAGAAACATTTACTGAGAAGAGAAAAGACAGAACAGAAAATAAAGAAAGAATATTGAGTAGAACCGTAGAAAGTCAAGTGAATTGAAAAAAAATAGGCTTATAAGAAAGAAAAACGTTCCTCGGAATTAAATCAGAAAAAAAAAACAAGTAAAGAATGAACAAATGAAAAAGAAACGCCATAAAAAAAATGCGTTCCTTAAAAATCTTGTCGCCACTTATCGTTCTTCCCGCAGAGAGTTGTCGCCATATTTCATTTCCAATTAATACCGCAAAAAAGATATAATCCGATTAAAGTGAGAAATGGCGGGAAACTGGGAAGTCAAGTGCATTCGGACATGTGTAAAGTGGGTCTGCAGTCGATTACATATTCCCTTCACATTCAGGATTTGGATTCAATGAAGTTCTCTATACTCTATACGTGGTTCTGGACAGGCGAGCTTAATGGTGCAGAAAAAGACATATCAACTGAATGGCAGAGTCTTTACTTTTAAATGATTGTGATAAGGAAGGAAGGAAGGAAGGAAGGAAGGAAGGAAGGAAGGAAGGAAGGAAGCGATGGATTAATGAAGTGAAACGAGAGTGTGATAAAGAGATTTTTATAAGGTTAAATAGAAATAAAAGGTGACTGGGAAAGAAACGAATGGGGAAAAGGAAAGATGTAAGTAAAAGAAACTAAGAAAAGAACGGAAGGATGGATTATGGAATGAGATTGATTTAATAAAGGGAAATATTTGAAAGTAAATAAAAGGAAGGAATTAAGGAAAGAAAATAGAAAGAACGAAAATAAACTGAATAAAATGTCGTAGGTGGGAACAAAGAGACCAAAACGAATGATGCAAATAACGAACAAAGTGAACATTTATATGGAAAAGGAAATGAAATATGAAATAATATCGTACGGTCACCAAAGTTAAGCAAAGTCGGGCATGAACAGTACCTAGATGGGTGACCGATTGAGAATACCAGGTAGTGTAAGCTTCGATGTGCGTATGGTGTAATGGATAAAATCTCGGAACTGGAAATCAGAGAACTGAGTTCCAATTCTGGTCGGGTTCGTTATATTTACTTACGCGCAAATAATCTTGGGGAAAGTATGAATCCACCACTTATCTCCCAGCAATGGGTTAATTATATAACTTCTATCAGTAAATCATTATTATCACCAACAAAATTTGTTGCAATATAAAACATTTCCCGGCTTTAATAACATACATATTATACATAACATAAATATACAATAACATAAATATACATAACATAAATGGTTGATAAACCAAAAAAACTCAATTATGAAATGAACCAACGAATGAACCAACGAAACAAGCGAGACTAAGGAAAGAAAAAAGGAAAGAATTTGTCGAATTAGATCGAAAGAGGGTTGAAATAGAAGAGACGAAGGAAAAAGCAAGGAAAAAAGGAGTGAATGAACAAAGAAAGAGACTAGATGGAAAGAGAAATGAAGCATGGGAAATGAAGAAATGAAAGAATTTAAAAATGGATTAGATCGAAAAAGGAACGAATAAAAGGTCAAAGTGTCAAAAGAGGAATGGCACAGAAAGAAAGAAAGAAAGAAAGAAAGAAAGAATAAACAATCATAAAGGAACGAAGGAAGAAGAGGAAAGAATAATGAAAGAGGACAGAGAAAGAAAGAAATAAAAGAACAATGTATTCAAGGAACACACAAACTGGGGAAACACAAAAAGAGATTAAATCGAAAGACATATAAATGAAGCAGTTGAAAGGAAGAGAAGATGGAAAAGGACAGAAATTAATGCATCGAAATATTAATGAAACAGAAGAGAAAGGAGTCGAAGAAGTCCATCTTATATATCTACAAATCAAGTATTCGCTCATGCATTGAGTACTGTTGACATATCTGGTCTTACGTCCTAGCTGTTCATCACAAAGCTGTTCCTGACAAAATCCAGAGAAGGATCTGCAATGTAATCGATCCTGACTGGGTATCTCAACACCAGTCACATTCTCACAGATGTGATATGGCTTCCCTCTGTCTTTTCTACAAATATTATCATGGCATCTATTCTGCCGAAATTTTCCCTGGCGCCCCGACAACATAAATTTAATCGTGCTAGTAGACTAGCATCATCCCACCCTCTTACCGTTGAAATATTTAAATATAACCGCCACTCCTACTAAACAGCTTCTTTTCTCGCACTTTCAGCCTGTGGAACTCTTTCCCGTTTAATTGCTTCCCTGATAAGTAAAATCTTCAAAAATTTAAATGCAACGTCAATAGCTATCTTTAGATGTCTTGAATCCCGTTCATCATTTATCCTTTCCTCCTTCCTCCTATATATACACATTTCTCGCACTGCCAATCTGTGTAACCCCCTGCCTACCAGTGGCATTCCCGCCTTACTTAGAAGGAAATGCTTAGAAAAAATATATCATTCCGTTTCACTTTTTCGTTTGTCTATTTCCTCAACCAATTGAACTCTTATTTTTTGTTCCTCAATACATTGCCACATTCTTAACTTCAAACGACGACCTTTAACTTAATAAGTAAAACTACTGGCTCCGAGACATATTTGGAATTGTCTAATTAGTTATAGATATTTGATAATCAAATGGTGCTTTAATCTAGTGGATGAGGTAGTTAATTCCACATACTTACTTTAAACAAGACCGAAAATTAAACTGATTTAGTGACGACATAAATTCTTTAAACTCTGTCTATCTCGTATATCTTCAATACACTAGGGTTTATTGATACGGGTTCTGAAGCAAGCAGTTATTTATCGTGCCGAGTTGCAAGCTCCACGCTATAGCAGATTTTAATGTAGACTTCTTCTTCTCCTAGACTAATTGACAGCTATGGCTAGAAAGCAAAGATTGCACTGTTATCAGCTGTTAGTTATGAAAATGGCGGATTCTTAGCTTTCCAATGTTTTTTTTTTTGTTGCTGTTATTTTTTTATTGGGGGGGTGCAAAAGCAAAAACAACTGCCTCCGCTGGAATTTGAACTCGGAACGTTCCGCGTCGATAACCGATAGCACACGAGCACGCCCGCAGAAATTGGATGAGAGAAACAAAATTATCTAATAATCATCAAACACAAGATTTTCCATATTTGCAAAAAATATTGGACATCTGATGACAGATACTTGTTTATAATAATTAAATAAGACCAATAGTTCAAAGATTAGTCAAAATTGGTTTAATTTATAACAAATTGTGCAAAGAAATATGTGAATATTACACGAATACTGAAAAGAAGTTACTAAAAAGAAAAAAGGAAAAATAAGTGGCAAATGTCGGCCATTTTGTCGATAGTCTATGAGACACTCAGGAAGCTGTTATCTTTAATTTTTCTATACTGTTTCCATTTTTTATTGAGTTGGCATAGTTTTCTCATCAGTTGATTAGGTGACGTGAAGAACCATTTGATTTTTTTTTAATTTAGTTCATAATTTACACCAAATGATACCTTATTTTATAAAAAGACTTCTTTAACGTAAATTTCTTTTCTGTTAGAGAAAAAAAATCAATCATATTTTTTTTTTAAAGAAGTCAAAATTTATTGAAACAAAACAAGTTCAATTGACCATTGATGACAATTTCAGAACAACGTAACTATAAACATTTTTTCTATCCTCTGCCAGCCGCAATGATGGAGAAAGCATTACCTCGAACCATGGCCAGTGAGACACGCTGCAAGAGCCAGTCCGTTTCGCAAGACTCGTCCCTTAATCGAGACGAATTCGCGCCAATCCTCCGAAGGAACGCCATCGAACGAGGGCCAATAACCCCTGAAGTCTTCACTGCCACAGGAGTAAAAACAAAAATCTATCAGCAAGAGAAAAATATTTAACTATTTTTTTCATCTCTGCGTCCTTGAGTGTGTCTACGCGTCTGTGTAATTGAGAAGGGAAGAGACATTTCTTAAGTTATTTATCTCAAAATAACTACTTTGCTCAATCGTCAAATTACAGATGCAGTGACGTCACATTATCAGCAATAAAAACGGTCCAATCAACACGAAGTAAAAATCCCTGTCTTAGTTTTTTTGTTTTCTTGTTTGTTTGTTTTTTTCTATAAAACAGCTGAACATGACTTGATAATTGAAAAGAAAATATCAGAAAACACGATCCAGTTTTATGAAAAAGCTCAAATCTTAACAAAAAGAAGCGGACTTTCTTTTAACTAATATCGCTCTATACGTTTACGGTGGGTTATAGAAATCGGTTTTATGGAATCGAGATCAACATCAAGCAGTGTAGTTGATGAGAATATGTGCAAAAGAAAGTGGTTAAACCTAGACTTGAAGAGGTTAAGTTACTAGTGGTAGGAAAGCATCCACTTGGGAGTTGGTTACACGGAGTAGCGGTTTGTGCGACGAATCTATCTGAGTGGAACTTTCTCCATATTAAAGGAATACGAAGCGAATTAGCGTGCTTCTCTTCATATACGCAAAAAATTCGAAATACGAAAAATAAGATACGAATTCTTAGGAATATTCTGTACTCAAGATGTCGTATTTTTCTGGCATTTGCCACATTAACTGGGGTCCAAAGTCAGAATTTTACATATCGAGAGAACGATTTTTAGAAATTTCAAAAATTAAAAATTTAATGTTTTTAGAATTTTTCAATAACACTGGGTGAAATATATTTTCATTTTTAGACTAATATTTTTATTTTGCTCTTTTACATGATGCTGAAGATGGGAAACCAAAGCCAAGAAACTGGCAATCCCACGAATTTGGAGGAAACAAAATAACCATTTAAGCAATTTTTTCGTGTACATGGTGGACCCTTCAAATGTCGAGCTGGCAAGAATGTTCCTGTTATCATATATCTAGACTTTCTGTTTTTAATAACCTCAATGTCACACTGCTCTGATCTCCCCATACCCACTCCCCAAAAGAAAGAGCAGCTCTGTTCAAAAGAGAACAGCAGTTCAGAACAGGATGTAGCCACTGATCCAGATTTCAGAGTCGTGACAGAGGAGAGAAACCCACACTACCGCAACTCTAAAAGACCTAAACGACCTGGTCAGATAGCTGGGTCTCACAAAGTTCAATACCGATCTTTTGACATCAAGACCCAAGCAGTGGAATTTATTAGATGAAATTGTGCTAGATACAGGTCAGAGAAAGCATCACCTCTATTTTCAGGCTTTTTACCAGTCAAGATAGACTTAGCTTCTGCCACAATGTGACCGGTCTCTTCAAGGCAACAGAAATTGCCTCTAACTTCATTGACACCTTTTCATCGACAGCTCGTCCAAGAGTCTCAAAACTGTGCTGTTACATAACACAAACTACTCTCGGTGCAGCTCAAAGAGTACGACAGCAGTGTCAGGATCTTGCTTGATGCTTTCAAATATGAATAATACAGTTGGAAGGTTCTTGAGAGCTTCAGAATGATGGCAACTCTGATTGGTCTACAAGGCGGCTTTCCCAGTATCTGTGTTAACTTTGTCGTTGGAACAGCAGAGACAGCCCAGCACACTACCACAGACTGGACTGGCCACAGCGAACCGAGTTCAGTGTCGGGTGGATGTACGTCATATGGGAGCCACTGTTGGACCCCGGAAAGTATTGTTTCCTTCACTGCACTAAAAATTGTGGCCCATGACACAAACCGATTTGGTGCACTTTAATTGCTAGCTTATATTCATAACGGAAACGTTTTGTTGAGGAAGTAACACTATTTTTGATCTAGTCACTGGGATATGACTACAATGCTTTACCATAGCGAATTAATTGTATAACAATACTGTTATTACACTATTTAAGGCATTAATGACCTGTCATGTGACCACCCATTTAGCAAATAATTTCCATAATTACCATTCAATCTTATTTTGCTGGAAAATTTGAATAATTTAAATTAATCCATATTTAAAATTTTTCAAGTTTCGAAAGAGAAGTAAATTCTGCATAAAGCATAGACAAAAAAAACTAATTTATATTGTTTTATTAGAAGCATATTCTGAAATAAATAAAACTTTAACCATCGGTCTTAAACTTATTTTCGCCAGTGTATATTTGCGGGTTCATTAGTGAATGTAATTTGCAGAATAATCGTAAATCGCGAAAAATCACTCACTTCTACTCATTTTATATAATTATAGAAATGCTAATTTTGAATCATATGTCGTTTTGTTTCTACTTTTCATGAATGAAAATGTTCACACTCACTAGTTTTCCCAATAGAAATAGGTAAATTTTAGAAATATCATTATCCTGGTGGGAGATATTACCCATTTTTCATACTTTCTAGTTGTAAGCAAATAGGAAATAACTGTTGCTACCCTGGGACAAAAAAAAACATGTTTTACAGTGTAATTCGGCGAAAGTCATTTATGTTATCGTTTGCCAAATCAAATAATTCCTGTTTCACTTTGAGCAGACGCCGGAAGCTGCCGGATTGAACCGAATGCTTCTCGGCTATTTCCGCGCCCCTCCCAAGCCAAACAATGTTCTTCCTTCCTAAAACT